GGATTTCAGACTCTGTGAAACTTCTGTTCAGGTCCTTTTCCCACCTCCTGAGTGGGCAGTTCGTTTTTCTCTTAATGTAAGCTTGCAAAGTATTGTAGATTTTAGTAATAAGGCCTTGTCTGATGTGTCATTGTTAGTCAGATAAATTTAAAAAAAAACACTTTAGCATTGTGAATTAGATGGGGGTTTCGATTTTTCAGGCCACCCTTTTTGTAAACAACTACTGAAACAACTTTATCAGCCCTCCGAAGAGCTTGCCTGGCCCATCCTCTGTCTGCCCCTCTCCCTCTTGTAGAACTTCATCTTTCCCTGCACTTAAGTCAACCCCATTTACCCTCTCCCCTGTTCTTCCACCTCCCCACCCTGCCTCTCCAGCACCTGGGAACCAGCAGTCGGTGTTTTTTTTATAGGTAACCTTTTATTTCGTTTCCATTTTATTTATAACAGTGGGATTTGTCCATTTCTGACTGAATGTCACTCAACTTATTAAAAAACAAAACAACACAACAACAAACCCCCCAAATACCTAGACTCCCTGCCATTGAGTCAATTCTGACTCATAGCCACCCTCTAAGACCTGTGGGTTGCATGCAAGACCTTGAATCTTCGTGGGAGTAGAAAGCCTCCTCTTTCTCCAGCAGAGCGGCTGGTGGTTTCAAAGGACTGGCCGTGCTGTTAGCAGCTATACATCACCCAAACCAAACCAGACAAACTACTTGCTAAGGGCTGGAATCTGACTCATAGTGACCCTGTTAAGGCAGGATAGAACAGCCCCTGCAGGCTTGGGAAACTGCAACTCTTCAAGCCTCCCCTTTCTCCCACAGAGCGCTGTAGTTCCCAACTGCTGATGTGTGGTCAGCAGCCCAAAGGGTGACAGGCTACAATACTGGGGCTCCTCTGCACGTCACCAGGGCCCCATAGTGTCCTCCAAATCCACCCCGGGTTGGAGAGGTTTCGCAGTTCCATCATTATTCTTGAGTGATGTGTAGTAGTCCATGGTGTGTATGTGCCAGTGGGTATTTACCCATTCTCCCGCTGAGGGGCATAAGTTGACTTCCATCTTGTTGCTATTGCCAATAGTGCTAGAGTGAACAGGGGTGTGACGACATTCTTTGTTTCTTTAGGGTCTGGACAGAGTAGAGCAATTGCTCGGTCACACGGTAGGCATTCCTATCCCCAAGTGCTTGAGGAAGTGCCCTAGCACTTTCCACAGTGGTGGTGGTGTTTGACAGCCCCACCAACAGTGAATAAGGATTCTAATCTCTGCGCACCCACTCGACTCTCACTTTAATGGAAACTGTTTTCCTTTTCTGACAGGTTTCGGCTTCGGCAGGTGTTTATGGTCTACAGACATGATGGACCCTGGTGCTGTAGTGGTTACAGGTGATCTGCATGGGCAGTTCAAGACCACCAGCCGCTCTGCGCAGGGAGGGGGGTGGTGAAAGACAGGGCTTTCTTCTCCGGTGAACAGTTACACAGGGCGGTCGCCATGAGTCAGCACTGACTCGATGGCACTGAGTCTGGTTTGGGTTTTTATAAGGATACGATATGTGTGCTCCTCTCATCTACAAAGGCGCCCGAGCCCGGCGGGGGTGCTGTGGGAGAGGGATTCACCGCTCATTGGCAGCAGCCCTCCTCTCCTCCCGCCCCCCCACCAACCCTGAGGCAGGCTGCTTCAGTCTCAGAAACCCTCTGCAAGGCCGCCAATAATTATCATGATGGTTACATCTTGGTGTCACTTCAAGTTACTGAATTGCACATCAAAAAAGAAGAAAGAAAAAAAATTATTGGGGCCTAGGACATTCATTTTCAAACGTGGCTGCCAATGGACGTACCAGAAGCGGTGCATTTGCCTTCGTCGGCTCCTTTAGGAGCCCTGGTGGCCTAATGCTTACGCGCTGCTGGGCTGCTCACCGCGAGGTCAGCAGTTTGAATCCACCAGCCG